ATAGAACATCGGATAGGCCCATCCGATACAAATATCTTGGCAGTGCAACTTCAAGGAATTTCCTTCCTGTAACCACATCTTTTTCTTTTTTTTTCTTACTTTTTAGTATCTGTTTCCCAATTCATACTTGAACCTTGCAAGACATCAATTTTTGGCTCTTTTCTAGTACTTTTGCTAGCACTCTTAACCATTCACACATCCTTACTCAATCCTCAACCAATCTTAACCATTCCATCTAATTGTGTGAAGCTTTGAGTAATATCAGTGAATTGTGGAATCACAAGATTTTGAATATATACATGAAAACAATCTTGTTGCTTAGACAAGATTAATGAGAGGAGTGAGGATGAGGTTATAGTCAAAATGATAAAACAAAAACAGTGTTCATCTATTCCAGTAATCGGGGATCCCATTGGAAATCCTGCATATGGTTTCAAATTGAGCTCTCCCATGATGATGGTATCCAGAACCCAAAAAGTGTGTCCCAGCAGCCTCCACAAAAGTGCCCAAAGAAGTTTCTGAGACCCTCAAAGATGACCTTTGTGGACCTGTATGTGTCAAACTTTAACAGTCATGAATCAATTATTTGCGACCACAATTTGGTGTCACAGACTTATGCTGCAACACCAAAAGCGGTGTCGCAAATGACATCTGCGACAGTTGACAGGTGTCACTCAAAGAATTCATATCCAACGGAAACTGCGACGGCCTGTTGAAATAGAGTCCGAACCAGCATCCTGCTTTCTAACGGCTGCCTGGCCCAATGGTCAAGGCGCTTGCCTACGATGACGACATGACCATTGTGATAGCAAGAGATTCCAGGTTCGAGTCCTGGGGTGGTCGTTTCTTCTCTTTTTTTTTTGAAAAAAAGAAAAAAGAGAGAGAGAATCTTGATTATTATTTAATGGCTTGGCGCAAGAGTTTTCTGTTTTTTTTGTTTTTTCACTTTTTTCTGTTGGCTGAAGCGGTAAATAGTTTTGTACTGATGCCATTGGGGGAGCCTTGGTGAGTAGGGATGGGTCTACCTCAAATCCGGATAGGCCGTTCCATCGAGATTATGTGATGGTTGTTTTGGTCCAGTTCTCCCGATAGTTTAGCCAAAGCTTTAAGAAATGTCTCATCTCTGAGAATTCTAACAACAATTTAATCTGATCAAATGGCAAGATTCAAGTGAGGAACGTGTCGAAATGAGACAAGTTGTACGAATATATAGGTAAGTATTTGTGAAGCTGACCTGATCAGACCCAACAAGTTTTAATTTTTTTTTTCTTTTTTTTTCAATCTATTAATTTATTTACCTCTCTCTTCTCACTAAACTAATACTAATTCCAAGCCATCCTTCCTTTTATTTAATCCACACTTTTTTTTTTTTTTTTTTT